TGGTTACCTCATGTGCATCAACTATTCTTCGCATTTTGTGATCTTTAGAATAGATAATTTTCTTTTTGTCGTCGTAATACCCATCGTCTCCAGTTTCAAAAGTATCTGGTGGTATTTTGGTAACGATTTTCTTATTTGATACTAATTCAGTACCTGGAGGTCGAAAACCGCAGTTGATTTCTTCCATATAAGCTCTATCTGGCATTCTTAGGTAATTCCAGTCTTTCTGATATTGCAAACCATCATGGTATATGTAGGTACTGTCCTTTAACCTGCAATGAAATCCTTAAGTTATTTACTTTCAAGTTAAAAACAGCGAAACTGGGATAATTAACAGTATAATTTCCATTACAAACAATGTTCATAGTAAATTCAAAACAATCAGTAAAACAATTACACATACTTGCCATTTCTCCAAACACCTTCTACACGTTGATCATTAGGGTATATAAGAGTGCCATTCCCATGAAATTGCCCATCCTTAAAAGTTCCTTTGTATATGACCCCATGTGGGTAGTAATAGGTTCCTATTCCGGAAAAATTTATTTGGTTATGAGTACCTATGTAGGAACTGCCAGTTATGTATTCTTCCAACGGTTTCTCTACTAGCTGATCTAAGAAAAAAATATATAGATTTGTTTATTGTATACAGCAAGGGTTTAATTTCATCTATAAAATGTTACCTATCATGAATTAAAGAATAAATAACGATAATAAGAAGAGAACAACATTACCGCGATATCAAGGGGGAAGAGGACTTATGGACATAGGTGGACAACTGGATAAAAAGGTTGCTAATATAAGAACTTATTTTCAGGTGCAGGCTGAGACATCTACTATAATTTTGCACAGTAGATGATACAACGCCACTTAAAACTAACTAAACACCTGACTAAGCAAGAAAAATTTCGCACCTGGATGAGTAAATATCTGCATGGGCGACTTCTTAATGAGATCAGCCAAGCATATGTCAACAATACAGCCTCGAACTGTTGGTTGATATCAGGAAATATGTTTCCCGAGACTGGGGGTTTCATCTTTGCCAGTCAGGATCAGGTTATTCCAACTAAATATTCCAACCAAACAAACCATCCGACATCTTACCGGGGCTGCAAGGCGTGTTTGTCGGTACTGATTATAAATAACGCCATGACTCAATAGGAAAAATTATCCACGAATAACTAACTGACAAACTGGCATTTCTCGAAATCGGCCATCTTCCTTATTATCAATACGTCCCTAGCATACCTAAGACAAATAATTTGCGTGTTAAATATAACGAAAAGATCGCCAGGTACAGAGATCTAGAAATACAAATCAGGAGACAATGGAGAATGGAAAGTACCCAGACAGTTCCTATTATTCTATATGCTACTGGTGTAATTCTAAAAAACCTCCTACAGAACATAAAACAGGTGGGTCTTAATGAACATCTCTTATAAGGTCATGCAGAAAGCTGTACTCCTCGTGACGTCCAGATGTGTACGAACATTTTTGAGAGATACTCCAGCATACCAAGTCACCTAGAGCTCGATACCACGGAAAGAGTCCCACCAGAGCTCAATCTTTTTGATACCGTAAGTACGTGGGATAGTGAATTTTGACCTTAGATAAACATTAAAAAAAATTAAAACAATACATTAAAAATATTTAAAACATTAAAATACATAAAAACGTACAGTATAGACATATAACTAAAATAATATTGTGTATGAAGGAGTGTCTGGCTAAATCTGGATAATCCTTTCGTGTTGTTCGTACCACCGATACCCAAAGGGTTGCAGGGATACTTGCCATGGAACAAAAACTGACACCTGGCAGTAGGTATAAAATGCAAATCCATGAAAATGGTAAATAATAATTTATGTTTAGGGTCGCTACCTGGGGACCGCCAGGGCACGCCTCGAGTCAGTGCTGAACGTGACAGCATGCCGGAATTCAATGGCAGGGTATTGAGGAGACGGGACCCTGTCATACAATCAGCTACAACCCAACAACAAAAAGAACCACAAGTGAGCCAAACATCAACAGGAGCTTCACTCGCTGAAATGGACTGTGTCTATAAACAAAAACATTTTGTGCTTCTATTATAAGTTGATGAACTTCGGTCGAGAAACGATCGACTATCGACAACATGAGAGATTCAAGTATCTGAAATAGCTAAATAGATAGCCTAGTAAAAGAAATAGCACGTGCCGTATAATAGTTTAATGGGACAAACCTACAACAGGTGCGCTGTTACAAATTGTGAATACTGAAGTCCTACCCAATTATATACTGGAAGCCCATACATTAGAATATTTGCATATGCTGATTTACTGTGCAGCAACAGCAATTGCTAATGCTATGGACATTAACATCAGAACATGACGGGGTACTAATATTGGAAGGGCTGAAAACAGAATTGCATCCTGGGAAAAACGACTGGTGGGGAAAATCAAATTATTGCGTAGGGATGTTGGACAAATTACGAAATACATCCCAGGAGTAAGAAGTCGAAAAGTAATTAAAAGAGCTGAAGAAATAATTCTGAACAATTCAAGACATTCACAACATGATCCAGAAAACAACACAGCTCAAAACTGCTTTTACACATTTACTCAGGTCGCCCAAGAAAATGAAAAGTTATTAACAACGGAAACGCGACAATATACTTTTTAAGCATGTAGAGAAAGCGTAGAAAACTGAATTTCACTGTAGAAAATAAAAATAACTCCTACCAAGCCAAGAAAAAATTCAGGAGTTTTGTGGAAACCAATTTTAGACGCCAGCTACTCATAGCAACAATTCTGGACGGATGGACGACACGAAAAATAACTGTCAATACTACAGTACTATTCCTTTCACAACTGAAAAAGTCTCAAACATTATCAAGTCCGAGACGGAGTTCAAAACTTCTGGCTAAAGAAGATTTGTAGTGTTCAAGAACTTTGAACAATATTAATTGATCATGTCATTTTTAATCCGCAGGAAATACCACCATTTCTTACTCAGGGTACCACTTATCTAATACAAAACCATCAAAATAACACCCAAGATCCAGCCAAGTACCGTCTAATTACTTGTCTTCCAACTTTGCACAAATTGGTCACATCCTGTGTAGCCCATCGTATCTACCAACACTGTTCTCTAAATAATATAGTGTCCCAACAGAAGGTATGCTCTAAGGGTTCCATGGGCTTCAACAACTTATAATCGACTTAGTTATTTCTACTAGCAAAACTGGGACTTCTCCAAAATTACCATCTCCTTTATTAATTAATATGTCCCTGACAAAATGCTTGAAAATGAAAACTATAAACTTTACTGGGACCGCACTGTGCTCACAGACCAACAAGTGGCTTACAATAGACTGGATCTCATACTAGTTAATAAACTTACTAGGCTAATAACACTAATTGATGTGGCGATACCTAACAATAACAATTTGCGTGTTAAATAAAACGAAAAAATCGCCAAGTATAGAGATCTGGAAATACAATGGAGACAATGGAGATTGGAAAGTACTTAGACGATACCTATTACTCTCTCTACTACGAAAGTTATTCCGAAGAGTCTCATAGAGAACATAAAATAGCTGGGTCTTAATGAACATAAGACTATGCAGAAAGCAGTACTGCTCTTCTACATCTAGATGCGTAAGAAAATTTTTGGGAGATACTCCAATGTACCAAGTCGCCTAGGGCTCGATAACACGGAAAGAGTCCTACCAGAATTCAATCCTTTTGATACTGTAGGTATCTATGATGCGTGAATTTGTCCCTTAAAAGGAGTGTGAGCCGTATGGTTACATCTGGGCGATAAACAGAAAATTTGTTATTTTAAATAGAACACCCTGTACATTATTGCCCTTTTAGATAATATATGAACCGAAGCTAACGTGAAATCCACACAATAAAAATGTCATACAGAAGGCTACAATGACACTTGGCAGATAAAGATGACTGTCTGGAAGAAATGGAAGAGAAAGTCCAAAAATGAACCTTTGGTCATACACAGGGGTTATGAGGCCCATGATGACTTACGGTTCAGTGGCACACAAGTGGTTTGCTTGCTTGAGTGTCACGGGAGGCATGAGCACCGCCCCTTCAGATGCGTTATATACAGAAGTGTTGCTGATGTATACAGAGGTGTTGCTAAACTTGCCACCGTTGCATATATTTATACAGGGAGAGACCAGGTTAACAGTAAACAGGCTAATACAAAGTAAAGCTCTTATAAACATAACTCAAGGAGCCGATCAAACAAAGTTATATCCTATCTCTATTTATATATACTTAATCTATGGTTATATCAGAAGATAAAGACGGAGTCCGTTCTGGACATGCCTGTAGACCGAAGGTATAGTGCTATGATAAATATGTCTCGTAAATATTTTAATTCTTATATGTTCTAGATTTTACCTGATGGTAGAAATTCCAGGTAATACCTACCTGACACGATGGATCCCCCTCCGATATAAAAACAACAATCGAACCTCCTGGAAACAGGCCGCTATAAAAGAACCAGTTCGAGATCATTCGCCGCCCTGTCTGTTGTGAGATTTTCCTTCTAGCCGAGAACATATCGAGCCTTCGACGGAGTTCCATTTTAACAGATGTTTTCATATAAATAACGGAGCTTTCATTGTGGATTCAGTAAGAAGACGATAGCGCGCCGAGTTTAAATGTAACGCTCGTATAAATAAATTATTATTGTAAGATAAATTAGTATAAATAAACTTTAAATTAAGTTGTAAGTGTTATACATATAGAACCTTTGATAAATAATAAAAACAATAAATTAGAATTAATAAATATACAACAATAGCTTTGATAAACATTTTAATATTATAGTACCAAAGAGGGAAGACTGGGAAATAACGAGTGCACCAGTAATCGTAAACTTAAGTTGGTGTGCAGCTGAAGGTACAGGGACGGGTATATACAGCATAAGACTAAGGAAAAAAATCCGGTTAAGCTTGAGAACTGAACTATGTGTGCTATAAAACTAATATGTCAAGTGGAGAATAACTCAATCGTAACCTACTTCGATAGTCAAGCAGGTCTAAAAGCCCTCAGTTCTATGCAGGTTGATTCAAAACTTGTGTGGAACTGTTTGAGTACTCTATCCAAGATTGAAAGTCGGAATAGACTGATACTACCCTGAGTCCAAGGGCAAAAAGGCTACGCAGGCAATAAGAAGGCGCTTGTGTCTCATTAATGACCCAGAGCCTTATTTTGGAGTTGCGAACACACAAAAATTAGTAGGCATTGATAAATAGGTACAAGAAAAGTCTTTGTATTAATGGAGAAATACTCCATCGCAAAAATAGGCTAAATAGTTCATTTAGGGATATTCAGTCAAACTCACAGCTGACTTACTGAGCCATAATCGAAAGACATGAGGTGATAGTGAGGCTGCTAAGTACGCTCTAGGATATATGGATAGGTTCAACAAGCATTTGTTGCATGGCCTTGACGGAAGATGATACTTGTCGGTTCTGTCTAGAAGAAGAGGAAAGAGCAATACATGTCTTATGACTGTGAATGTCTCACAAGACTGCGGTATCTGGAACCCGCAGAGGAAAAACAGAAAGCATCAGTCCATATGATAGGATACCTCTTAAGTCTATGGGAATTTATTAAGAGAATGGAGCTGGATGAGGAGCTTTAAGTGAAAATAAAAAGCACAGTAGATATTAAAGTATGTCTTGTCGAGGTCGCCGTACGATGTAATAGTTAATTTACTAAGGAAGTACATTTGACTATACATTAAAATGTTTTCCTGTATTTAATTGACTAGTCCAAGCCTAAATCAATGACCACATTGGTCTGTATAGTAGTTAACAACTATACTCTTGTCTCTATACAATTCAGAAACAAACTAAGCATTCGAGAATGCATACCTTTGAAATTATCATAAAAATGTACCCATGTAATCTGTAAATACACAAAATTTTAATGAAAAATATTTTATTTTAATAGTAGCTGTATCCTTAGCTTTTAACGAGCAGTTAATTGATGAACTCACCTGTACCGGGTACGTCAAATGTAACGAGATACTTGGGAGGTTTACTCGTATCCTGTGGAAGTTCTTTCTCCCAGTCTATAGTCAATTTATGGTGAATTGGTCCAGAAGAAATATAACTCACTTCTCTCCAATCATATCTTGTATAACGTGGCGTGCTGGTTTTGTAACTTCTTCTACTACTGCGGCACTGAGACATTTCATTGAAATAAATATACTTACCTCCACACTATTTCTTGGTTATCGATAAAGAAAAAAATAAAATATCCGTTTATTATTTTGCAATGTGACACAAAAATTGATGCATGTGACTGTTACCAATGTCACCATGGGTTACAGACCATTCAAAACTCTCTTTTGGTTCTCTACATAACAGAGACAATTTGTAAACTTTAAAAATTAAACAAGTGCATTTTAAAAATTGATAGATCATCTCTTTAACAACGGATTCATTGTCGTTTTATGACATTAATTTGAGGATGCGAAACTAGATAATACTAGAAAAATATAACCATTAGATACGAGACTGGAAAATATGAAAAAACTGTATACGAAAAGTAATATGTGAGTTGTAAGTTTACCAATTTGTATAATGTAGAATTTTTCACAGTATTTATTTTGTTTTTAAAATATATTCGGTTAAAATGATCCGTCGCTAGCGGTTTGGATGGCAGGATAGTCTGGTCTTGTATACAGAGTTTACAGCAGATATTGCTTCGCTAACTGTTGGTAACTGAAAATCGTGGTGTAATCTCTGGTTCGTAATGTACCAAGGGGCATTGCAGATCTAACGCAGTACTTTCGATTGGAACCGTTGAAGTTTTTGTATGCTGGTATTCAGTATCAGAAGTTTGTTCTCCAGTCTTAGATTTGATTTTCGACCCATGTACCAATACGTTTTCCTGTAGATTAAGCTGAGTTGAAGGCGTTTCTTCCAGATGTAAATACCCCAATTAAGTTTGCTATTCAAATGAATTTCCAAGTATTTATCGACGGTTTTAACTGGTAGTAGAGTGTTTTTTTTAAAGTAACCTTTTTTAAAGTAAAAGTTATTTGTGTTGATTTTAAACTGTTAACTTGGACTCGCCACCGTTTGAGCTAGCTCTCTAGTTTAAGTAGGTGGTTTTGTAATACCTGGGATGCTTCAGTTGCTGTAGAATTTGAAGAAATGATAACCGTGTCATCGGCATATGTAGCGATTGTAGTATTGGTCGTCGTTGGGAGATCTGATGTGTATATTAAGTAGAGGGCAGGTCCTAGTATGCTTCCTTGTGGAACTCGGTGACAAATTGGAAACAGGTTAGTGATTTCTCCACCTCTTTTGACTTGAAAGAATCGATCTGTCAGGTAGGATCTTAAAAGTGAGCTTATGGGATGAGGAAATATGGATTTAATTTTAAATTTAAGACCTACATGACAAACTTTGTCGAATGCTTGAGAGATATCAAGAAATGCAGCAGTACAGGAATTTTTTTGTTCGAGCGAATTTCTGATAGCCTTTACCACCCTATGAGTTTGCTTGATAGTACCATGTTGTTTCCTAAACCGAAACTGATAATTCGGTAAAACATTACTGTCATATAAAATAAGCTCCAGTCTTCTCAGAAAAAGCCGTTCAAATATTTTGGATATACCAGGCAACAAGCTAATTGGGCGATATGAAGATACTTCCGTGTGATCCTTATTAGCTTTTGGAATAAAAATAATTTGAGCAACTTTCCATTGGAGTGGAAAATAACCTGTTTTTAATATTGAATTAAATATGTAAGTAATTAAACTTACGCCTTCGTTTGGTAAATTTTTTAGTAGTAAACTAGATATTAAATCATATCCAGGTGACTTTTTAATTTCCAGATTATCAATTATTTCTTTGGTTTCAGATTTCTTAATAGATTTAATAGGTGGAGCCATTTAATATGGTGCATTTACGACTTCTTGAATAGCCTGCTCTTCTTCAACTGAGACTTCCCTCTGACGCGGTTGAAATACCTCTCATAGATGATTTGCAAAAGTATATGCTTTATATATACCAGTTTTAGCCCAAGTGCCATTTTGTTTCCTGACTGGCATATTCATTTGTTCGTTGTGTTTAAGTTTTTTTGTTAGTTTCCACAGCGAATAGTTCGTATCATCTGCAGGTGAGAAGTTCTTTAAATATTTGTTGATTCTATTGTCTTTATGTTGGATCGGTGTTCTTTTGAGTAGTCTACAAGCTCTATTAAGATTTGCTTTATCTTCTGGATGCTTAGTGACCTACCACCTCTTTCGCAGTTTTCTTTTTTCCTATATGAGTAAATTTATGTTAGTAGGACTCGGAGTTGTGTTTGTAAGTAAATTCTGGGGTAGACGTCCAAGCAGCTTGCTGAATAACTAGTTAGGTGAGCAACTGCATTTTCTATTTCGCTATCACTTTTTAGAGGCAAGTTTAGGTTAAGGGTTGTTTTTATTTCTTCTCTATATCTGTTCCAGTTTGTTCTTTTATTAGAGAGTGTTAGATATTTAGGACAGTTATTAATTTGACTATGTAGATCTATGAAGAAAGGAGAATGATCTGATGAGAGGTCAAATGAAGGAGAAATTTGGGGATAGGTATGCGATATTCCCTTTACTATAGCGAAATCAACAAGATCAGGAATTTTTTGTCTATCGGTGGGCCAATACGTAGGCTCTCCAGTAGAGAAAGGAATTAAATGATTCTCATTAATACTTTTTAATAATTCTCGTCCACGTGAGGTTATGATTCTGGAACTCCATTTATGATGTTTGGCATTATAATCTCCAGCAGTAATGAAACGGTGTCCGAGCATCTTAAAGTATTCAGTAAAATGGTCAGCTTTAATTATTTTATTCGGTGGACAGTAAACAGCAAATAGAATAATCGGGCCTTGTGATACTTCGACCGACACTGATGTGGTTTGGATGTTAACGTTACTAATTTTATTTATTTCATGATGCTTAATGTTATTTCTTATAATAATTGCCGTACCTCCGTGGGCTTTACCTAATGGATGTTGAGTTACATAGGTTGAATATTTGGGAACATAGACATCGCTCTTATTAGTAATGTGTGCTTCGGAAATAAACATGGCATCTAGATTATGAGAGTAAATCAATGCTTTAACTTCGTGGAAATGGGTGGTTAAGCCATTGGCATTCCAACAGCACATCTTTAGTTGCATATAGTTGCATTTCTCATCTATGGTAGATGTATTTCTATTATCTCTTCCTGCAACCAGGCAGGATTTATGTCCTCAATGCGTTGATAACTAGTTGGGTCTTGGTTATCTAGTTGGTGATCCATAGTTTTCCACTAATTACAATTTGGAATTATTAAGACATTCCGGTATATTTTGTTAATATACCGGACTATTTTATTTATATTTGTGTTAATAAATGTAGTAATTAAATTTGTATTACTTCCTTGTTGGATAATTACAGCAAAATTGAATACAAACACTTTTTTCGGTTATTGTTTTTAAATTTCTTGATAACGAATGGCTTATACTAATTATAGGTACTAATTACAAAAAGATAAAATAATTATACACAAGTACTTCTTCGATGCTTGTTTCCAACACGAAGGTTTGAACGAGACTGATTTTAAAATATTTTTTATATATTATATAATAAAATATTATATAATATAATAATATTTAAAATATAAAATAACAAAGTCAAATATGATAAGGCAAATGAAACCATAGGTTTCGCAGTCAATATCCCTACCACACATACGCATGCCATTTATTTATCATTGGGGAAAATCTTACCTGAAATATATATAATAACGGATTGATTACGGCTGTTTGCAGTTTCCTCTTCTAAGTCTCTTGCCGCCACTGCTTCATCAATATCGTCGCGTCAACTTCTCCGTGGTCGTCCTTCTTTCTTCTTTCAGGAGGGATCCATTTCAGTACTCTTCTAGGCCATCTGTACTCTGGCATTCTTTTAGCATGTCCGAACCAGATTAATTGTTTTTTTTTCTATGTCTATGTCATCATTGATGTTTCGCTCCATTTTCATTTCGTTTGTTATTCTTTCGTTTCTAACTCTCTTCAGTTTCGATCTACCGCAGCTTCGTCTCAGATAATCCATTTCTGTCATCATAAGTTTGTTTCTATTAGCTTTGGTGACGTCCCACACTTCCGAACTGTAAAGTGTAATACTTTGGACTATACTATCGTAAATGTGTTTTTTGGTTTCACGTCGAATTGTTTTTTGCCAGAGAGGAGAGTTTAAGGCACGGGTAGCTGCTCTGCCCTTGATTGCATGCATTTGATTTTGTCGTCTTCCAAGACTAGGTCACATATTTCGTCTGTTCCTACTGAGAGATATTCACATTTTGTCATATTCATGTTTAGACCTGCTACCTCATATTTTTCTTGCAGTTTTCTTACCATACAGCTAAGATCGTAGCTGTTTTCGGCAATTACTACCTGGTCATATGCAAAGAAAAGTTTATATAGCGTGTTTTCTTCCACCGATATTCCCATGTTTTTACATTTTTTTACCTATTTCACTAAGGATCTGTCCAAATAGAATTTAAATAAGATGGGTAACAGACAGCAGCCTTGTCTTAGTCCCTTTGTTGTTTTAAAAAGAGAGGTGATTTCTTGTCCTTAAAGTCTTACCTGAAAACAAACAAAAATTAGTAGTACCTAATCATCCTGATTTTAGGATGATTTTTAAATAATTTTCCGGCCATTACAAACGGTACTTTAAGAGAGACTTAGATGCAATTCACTATGAATAAACATTCAACCTTCAAAAGGAGACGGCCCAATAAGAAGATACTTATAATCTCACAATTTCCAAACGACATTTGTAGCAACTTTTAGCATTTTTAGTAATACCCAAAAGGTTACGTGTTTCACCTGCTCAGATCACGGAACAACAGCTTTAACGAGATAATTTTACACTGTAGATTTACTTAAACGTTTGAATACAAAATAACTAACACATAATTTAACTTTAGAAACGTAGCAGAAACTTTAGAAAATAATAGAAGCTTTGCTCGGTTTTAATGTACTGTGTTTTGTAGACTTTGAATATAGCTTTGATATAATTCAATATAAAAATCTTGTAAACATATTAAAAAGCAACAATCGTGATATAAAAATTATATCTCATCTATATTGATATACAACTGCTAAAAATAAGAGTAGTTGTCAATCGGGACGTTAAAAAACAGTGAGTAGTCCGCCAGAGTAACGTATTGACTCTGCTGGTATTAAATCATTATAGTGCAGCGGTATTTAAGAAAGTGTTTTTAGATTCAGTAGAAGGTAGATTG